GCGCGATGTCATCACCGACATCCGCACCACACGCAGATGTGGTAGGCGAAACTCTAAAACCTTGCTTTTCGAGATGTTTCAGGGTGGTGTTGCTTCAAACTGCAAGCACCTTGCCAGTGGAACACGGAAATGAGGTGGATGTCAAACGCAGACAACGTTCTCAGTGCTTCCGTTGCGTAAAAAGTGGAAGTTGCTCTGCCGAGGTATAGACACTTCTATCACACCGTTGAGGTTCGTCACACACATACACAGGCAGTGAACACCAGTGTCGAAGTGGCAGCAATAGTTGGGTTGGCCATTTTCGTTGACACCAGTGCAGCATCTCAAGACATTCCACTTGGTGATGGAAGGCATGAGGCATGGCAACCGTCCGATCTAAAGGTCGGTTCAAATGGCAGAAACAATGTGACCACCAGGTTGACCTCTAATCTTACAGATGATCAACTAAACAATGAAACACAATAATAGCACCCATGATCACAAACAATCGGACCTGGTAACTGTTGTTGGACGATAAAACAGGGCAGAGCCGGATGTGAATTAAAGAAATGTCAGAAAATTTCTTTTTTCTAAAGTGTAATATGAGTAGGAGGAGCCGAACTAGGCCGTGAGAATATTCTAACGTCGCATTTCGGCATGCAAAGAAGGGAGACGGAAGTGAAGGGTGGGTGAGAGGGAAAGAGAGAAGAAGGGAGGGAGGGAGGGAGATGTGCCGCCTAATTTCACTCCTTAGCCTCACCCACTCCACCCTTGTGTTAGTATTTCTTCCTGTCATCAGGAGGCAACACTGACGCAACCAAGTGGAAACTGGAACAAAAATTGGAAATGTTAGAGCATGATGGCAATAAACCTGACGAGAATGCCTTTTCTCTTGCCTTACAGAAAGATGCTTTTCCTCTTATCACGCTTCGATGTGGACTTGGACCACTTTTACTCACCTCGTCATGTCACTTTACCTCCTCACAATTTACACGTCATGTCGTCAATGCCTAGTCTATCTACAGAACCAGCACCACCGTTCTCATCCCATTCCCTCGACAATGTCTTGCCCTGACGACACCCAGCAGACATAAAACAAAAAAAAATTAATTTTTTAATGACTAAATTGCCAAATGAAGGGGGAGACGCCTTTCAAGGAAGTGGCCAGCTATTCGCAGGAGCGCGAAGACTGCGGGAAACCAAGGTTAGGATTCATGACACCCTTCTGGGTGATACAACCTCTAACCAAATTACATCTGATCAAAAAAGGTCAATTCAGTAAAAAAAACGGTCTCCATAGGTATTTCTCGAGGAATTTCAAGGTGGCAACGAAAGGCTAAATACTTTTGCAATTTTCAAGTCTCCAAGCAGCTTAAGTTGAGTAAAAATTGTAACAATTTACACCTGAAAAAGTTGACATTTTTGTGCTAATAACTTGTGTTACAGGTCGACATTTATGCCTGACACAGAAGGGAGGAGGGAATGTATTTGGGAAGTCGTTGTAATCGAATAGGTCCTGAAGGCTCCCGATGTGTGTAAAGGTGTAAACTTTGGCTTAAGGGCAGTAGGATTTGAATGGATTGTATTCCTCACCTTCAAGACGATTAGTCGATCCGTTTTAGATGGAATCGCCATTAGTAGGTGGTTCTAGGTGACTCTGGTAAAACAGGGAATCTTGTAGCGGACAAATATTGTGGATTTCAAAATGGAGGTGTAGAACAAGATTGTAGCCTTAGGACCTGAGTGGTGGAAACTGTCTGTTTGAGTCTGAGCAGAACTTCTCCAAAGATGGATCTGAAGGCTGATTAAAGCAGCGATTGCACTGTGAATGCCTGGCATTACCAATTCCAGACCCAAGCTTTGTTCAAAACAGCGGTTTGAGAATGGCACTACTACATTAAGAGGACGGAGGAGTCTTTCGTCACCAACAGTACGCCCTACTGCATTCATCCAACGTGCCATAAAGACAATAGTCACCTTTCCAAGTAATACTACCACCAGCCTCCCTCACTCCGTCCCACACTAATCTAACCCACCTCTTCACATTCCACGGTCTCACGCCGGCACGGCCGACAATGACCACCCCACACAGACTGCCTCACCATTAACACAAGCGCTCACGTCCACACCGACTCTGTGCTGCAAACCCTTCCTCCACATCCAAGCATTCAACATC